AGAAGAATATGTTAACTACCAAACAATCACTCGCAAAACTCAGAGATCCGAAGCAATAGAAGCAGGTACATGTAGAAGAACCAAAAAAAATTCATCGATCCATAAAACTCACGAATCCAGATCTTACCGGAGAGGGAAAAAGAACGAGAAATCGAGCCCTAATGATGCTTTCGTTCGGAGAGGGAGGAAGCGAGGGGAGAGCGCGAGGGAGATCACCAAGGGCAAAAGAAGGAATTGCAGCCCTAACGCCAACAGCCAACGCCGAACGCAGGAGGCGCCCCGCGATCCGCATAATGAAGAAAAACCGAACCGCGGGACGCAGCGTTCAGAACGCCGCCGAACGAACGCTCGAAACAAACGGGTAGGCGGCGTTCTGAAAACGCCACCGTCGATGAAAAAGCTGTGCCAAACAGGGCCTCAGTCTGTTCAGACTTTGTAAACGGAGCGCGAAGATGAAAAAATTGAAGTTCGAAAAATTAAAAATTCTTCCCGCCATTTGGTTTCTATTCAGACTTTGTAATTCTGTTAAAGGTAATGCTTCAGTCCATTTTGAGAAAAAATCTGTTGCAACGAGAATAAATGTGTCCTTTTGAGATGAAGTGTCTATATGACCCACTATATTTGTACCCCAACACTCGAAAGACCACAACACTACCATCGGGTGTAGCTCATTCGGAGGTTGATATAGAACCACTCTGTGTATCTGACATTGGTGATAGCCCCTGGTGATTTCCATACAGTCGATGATCATCGTTTTCCAGCAGTACCTCATTATCTTAATTTTCCTCTTCATTTTTGGGTTACTATTGAGCACCGCACAGTCCTGCATGCACTTCCTTGACGATCTTTCGTGCTTCTGACTTGCTTAAGCATATCAACCATATTTTCGTTGAAATATCTGTTGTAAAAGATGTTGTCGACTAAGAAATATGACAACACTCTCTTCTTTAATTGTTGAGCTTCTTACTTGTCCTCTGGGAATTTCCTTATCTTCAGATATTTGATGAACGGTTGTTGTCAATCTTCTGTATCTTTGGCCACTGCAGCGACTGTCACTTTCTTTCCAAAGTCATGTAAGGTGTCCGTGTGAATTTGTGACAGCATTGCCGTCCTTGTGTGGTGTTGGCAATGGAATCTTTTAGCGGACATGCTCACTCTTTAGCGAGCTTGGCTAAAGCATCTGCATGAGCATTATCCGTTCTCGATATTTGGTCACATTATGTTGGGGATTTGCTCCAACAACTTCATCGTATAACAAAAATAATGCTCCAACTTTAGCTGACTTGCAAGATAATGAGATGTGATTCGCTCTAAATGTTGATATCTGTTATTTCCATTAAAATTGCCAACTCCAATTTTGAGATTAGAGCCTCATATTCTGTTTCACTGTTTGTACACGACTCTATCATATGGTAGGAGTACCTTAACATTCCTCGATCTAGCATAACGAAGACAAAATCGATCACTGCTTTGTCGGGTATTATCGTTTGTGAATCCATGACTTTTCGTGTTGACGAACCTCCATCATAGTACATTTCCCAAATTTGAGCATTGGGACGCTCTACATTCATCACTTGCTCGTCCGGTTGATCGTCATTAAACGGAGAATCGGCTAATAAAGGAAGCGCTGCAGAAAATCAACTAAAATATGTCTCTTGACGACGTGAAGAGACACAAAGATTATGCCAAATTACAATGAAATCATTGATCACCTTGCTAACCTTCCGGAAAGTATCGGTCGGGTCATCAAATATTGCAACGGATTAACTTTCGATATTATGATATTTTACCTCCGTCGGTATTAAATCATCGGGTCATCAAATCATCGACCACTTGGCTAAGCTTTTGGGCGGTGAAAATTAAAGATAGAAAATGATTCTCGATAGGAGGATACTTTACCTCTGCTGTCATTAGACAACGACTTAAGTAATAGAGGACGTTTTTCTTACACTCGTCATTGACCTGAGCTAGCAGAGGTCTGAAAGAGTCGTCTAATGTCGTGGTATAAGTATCAACGGTTTACCCAAGACTGGGGCTGTTAATACGGGAGATGTCATTAAGTATTATTTAATACTTTCAAAAGCTTGTTGATATTTATCGTCCCAAGTAAACTTGACATTTTTTTTAGTCAATGTTGTGAAAGGCCGACATCGTCCTGACAAATTAGATATGAAACGTCTTCAATATGACAAATTTGCTTGAAATTACTGTAATTGCTTCAATGTTTTGGGGGGTGACATTCTAAGGCTCTGTTTGGGAGCACTTTTTAGGTGCGGCGCGGGCATTCGCCGTGACTTCTCGCGAAAGCTGTCCGTTTGGTTCGCGACTTTGGGCAATTTGGCGGCGGCAGCGGGGCGAAAGCGGGCCGCGGGATATTTGTGGCTTCTCCCGCTTTCGACCTAAATTTTACCCTTTTCCCTCTACCTACCCTCGGTGGGTCCCGCTC